CCAGTCCCCCTCCGAAAAAAGCGACGCTGGCATAATTTTGTCATTTTTACAGCAATTGATCTTGGATTGAATGACAGCGGCGTGATGGGCAACATTTGTTTTGGTTGCCGTTTTTTTTTTTTTTTTTGGCCAGGACTTCTTTTCCGAGTTGCCATAAAATGAAAATGAAAAATGCAAATTGAATGAGAAAATGCTTTTTTATTTCCGCATCTCCCCGAAGGGCTTGTCGCCAAAGTGTTTGCTTTAAGGGGAGCACTTCATTAATAAAACTTTAATGCCGCCCGCCACTGAGTTGAGTTGAGTTTCGCCTCGGAGCGGGCTTATGGAAACGATTTAATTTGCCAGCGACGTCGACACTCGCAGAATTACACACAACCATTTTAAATAATAAATATAAAACTTTATTTTCATGTTGATTTTCCGCCAGCAGAGTCTGCAACTTTTCGCACTCCGCTAAACCAAATCCCATTCACACAATCCCAACTCACGCCGTTCGAGCAATAAATTCCAAACGAAAAGCCACACAATGAAATCATTGAAATTTACGTTGTCTGTGCATAATTGTTGGCCATTTAGCAGCCAGGATTCGCCAAGGATAAGGCCGGATAAGGAGCCCACTTTGTTTAGCATTTAATGAGGGATGGCCTCAAGGATTCTGGTTAAGCAGCTTGTGGGATTTCCCAAGAATACAATCAAGGAGGTGTCTTTAACAATTATAAGTCGAGGCATTGATTTAGTTTTAATTATTCAGAAAATTAATTGAATTTAAGGGATGACTCAAAAGGGCGATTAATAAGGAAGATGACAAGAGTCCTGCACAGAGACGTGATGTTTTAAGTTAGAGCCCAACTTGTACCTTTTTAAATATTGATATCTAGTATCTGTGTCAAAGTGCTTAGCCAATTGCTCCCATTTTGCGACAGGCAATTGCTTGCCTAGTCACTTATTTTAATGCTCGAGTAGTTAAATGTATTATTAGTCTCTGAACCCCATTGTGTATGCAGACTCCGAAGTGGGCCAAAACAATTACTGCATAATAAATCAATTTTGAGTACCATGAATTTACTAGCAACGCCCACTGCCATACGAAAACCACACCCCTACCCCGATCTATTTAAAAGCGCAGTTTAGACTCCTTCAATCAGCCGCAGAGTTGGTCCTGTGGATGTGGGCCTTAAGCCCACTTCGTTGGCTGACAATTTCCAGCTCAAATATGCAAATTACCGACAGTTGGTAGCCTCAATTTGATTCGCAAGCGCAGAAATGGGGGCAGCGCATAAAAAAAAGGAGAAAAAGAAAACATGGGAGCGCACAACAAGCAAGTCAAATTGAAATGGGCACAAAATATGACAGCGTACTTGCATTTTAAATATTTAATTGCGAAATATTTTCCATCCAGTCAATTTGCATGCCGTAGCCAAATAGAAATGGTCGATTGAATTTATATCACGTTTTTATGGGTGCAGAAGACAAAAACGAATGTGTGACGAGGCATATTTAATGGAGATTGATTGAGTCATGGAATATTGCTATTAATAGAAAATAAATTTACATATAGTACATCTATAAATATAAGATATGCCTATTTTCGTTTCCTATTAAATCTGTTAAATTTCCAACTAATCAATCGGAATTTCCATTTTAGTCATAAATGCAAAAAGGCATAGGCATTTAAATTATGTTTAATTTTATATAAATTTCCATATCTATCGCGAATTATTAAAATTATGCCGCAGCCAACTTCCGCTCGGCGATTGCATTGTGTACATAGCAATTAAATTCGCGATATATCTCCTGCTGTCAGTTTGGAAAAGCGTTTTTGAAATTGCAATTTCAAATAACACGAACGGTAAACAACAATTCAATTCATTTATTTGACTAGCAAAAATTGCTGTCGTTGTCAATATCCTGCCTTCCATTGCCGCTCAGGCATTCTAGTGTTTTTATGGGATTTTTTTTGAGTAATCCGATACTAACACACGCGAATCGGATTTGTCGCTTGACAGTTGATGGATGTGACTGCTCACCAAATGACGGAAAACTGTTGGCCTCACTTTATGGCCATATTTATTTGTGGCGTGGGCCCTCAGAAGGCAATAAAACTGTTGGCCTGGCTATTGGCAAAACAAGATTGTGTGAATTAAAATCATAAAGGCCCGACCGCAACAATTAATTAGTTTTGTTTCCACATGAAATGGGATACATGTTTATTAATTGCTGGCTGTCAACTTTTTTTTCCATTCAATTTTCTCTTAAATCATGCGCAAGTGCTGAATATTAATTTAATTTGCGAATTCCTTGATAATAAGTCTTTAATTTTATAGTTTAGGTATGAAGATTATCACTTGAATTTCTGTCAGTTAAATTTTGGTAGCTTCTACTCCATTTAGCGGGACTTAAATGGCAAATTAATGCGCATTTGGTTAGCTGCTACCCAGCATCTGTCTGCTGCACCTTGGCAACCCAACTCCCTTTCCCTCCATGATGTTTTCTCACTCTCGTCACGTTGCAATGTCACACACACAGGGGAAAACACGACACTTGCAATGCAATGTCGCCGTCAACTGCGCTTCATTTGATTTGAGCGCGCATACGACACGTTGTCCGCTTAACCCTCGCTGCCCTCTCGTGCGTGTTTTTAACGCAATTGCCGTAAAAGTGAAGGAGTTTATGTCATCTATATGCGATTTTCCCGTTCCACTGGCTGTGCGTGCCGCAGCTGCCACATGTTGAGCTCATCCTGCACTTAAAAAAAAAACTTTATAGATTGGCATGTGTTTTCTTTATTCTCGAGTCTTTGCTTTCTAGTTTTCTTAACTCTTTTATAGGTGTTGTAATTGTTTGTGGTCATTTAAGTTCTATAATTTTGAAAAGTGTTTAATTTAAATAATATTTTGTATGGACTGAAACTGATTGCGCCACAATCTGGACGCTTTTCAGAAGTGGTCAACTATAGTGGTCAACCCTTTTTGAGAAAAATTCTAATTTCAAAGCTGGTGCGCACTTAAAGGTTAAAAGCTTCGGACTTCTCCCCGACAATGCAGCAAAAATAAGAATGGAATTTATGCCCAGCGTGTGCCGCACATTAGCGCATTGTCACCGCACTCGGCACACTTCCAATAAATAACCTTGGCACACAAGGACACACAGGAGTGCTCCCAGGGAGCCTGCTAATGCGCTTAGCGCCTTGTTGCCGCTTTTTTTGGGGCAAGGCTGGAGCAGCAGGAGCAGAAATGGCGACGAAATCCGCCATAAATAAAGGATAACAATTTGTTAGCCACGCAACAAGTGCAAACTAAATCAACAAAGCGAGTAGATTTCCGCAGGCTCTTTAGCTCCACAACTCACATGTGTAAGCTCTTAGGTGGAAAACCCCGGGAACCCGAAAAACCTCCAACCCACACTGATAAACGGCTCAATCCGTGTTTGCCACTGTGTGTTTGTCTGAATTATAAGAGCCATATTTTAGTAAAACAAAAAGAAAAAACAAAGAGACTAGGGCCGGTTTTAAAGACTTAAAGGTGGTTAACTCTTCAGAGCTCAAAAGAATGAAATTAACCCTTTTACCTTTATCTCTGGTTCATTTAAAAATAAAAGAAAAGAAAAACTTTCCGAGAACAAAGGGTAGCGATTTCATTTCGGAACTCCCTCACTCAATGACAAGAGGAAAATGTTGGCCCTCACTTTTAAGTACATTTTACTTTATCCCAATGGCTTGCGAACCGCAACAACAGGGTGGAAAGCAACAGCAGCTCCAGGAATTAAACCTTCTTCGCAAAATGTCCTTTTTCGCCGTAATAACATTAATGCAATTTTACGCACGCGTTAGCTTTTTTTCGCAGTCCACTTGGGGTTCATATACTATGCGAAGAAGAACGAGTATTTCAAAATTAATAAAGGGTTATTAAAATTATGAGTTATAAATTTATAAATAAAGTTAATATTTTTAAAATAGTTTTATAAATTCTAGCAAATAACTTCAGTTACCTAATGATAAAATTTATTTATAACAAGAAAGGAAGCTAGCTTCGGCAAGCCGAAGCTTATATACCCTTGCAGTTACTAAATATGTCGAACAAAATACATAAAAGCTCAAGAGCATCGAAGCTATGACGATTTTTCTATTAATTTTCCATATTGTTCATATGACAGCTATATGATATAGTCGTCCGATTTTTATGAAATTTAATTTGTAACTCAAGACTCATAAGAAAACTCTATATTCCAAAAATTATTATTGTCTGATGAAAAACAACGAGGTTATTTCTGTTATTTCTATATAGATTTTTCGATCTTTCCTATGGCAGCTATATGATATAGTACTCCGATTTTTATGAAATTTTTTCTCAACTTAAGAGTATTTAAAAAACAATATGTTCCAAAATCATGCTCGTGGCATTAAAAACAACGACATTATAATGTTTTTTCCATTATTTATATACATATATTTTGATCTCTCCTATGACAGCTATATGATAGAGTTATCCGATTTTGATAAAATTTAATCCGAAATTCAAAAGCAGTTAGAAAACGCCATCTGGAAGGAATCAAGTCGATCTGATCAAAAACAACGGTGTAAAATTTTTTTATTTCATTCTCTTGTATGGGAGCTATCCGATATAGTCGCCCGATCCGGCTCGTTCCGACATATATACTGCGTGCAACAACTACACAACTTTTGGGAAAGTTTCAGCGAGATAGCTTTAAAACTGAGAGACTAGTTTACATAGAAACAGACAGACGGACAGACGGACAGACGGACCGACGGACAGACGGACAGACGGACCGACGGACAGACGGACAGACGTACATACATATTTCGATTCAGATGGTGATGCTGATCAAGAATATATATACTTTATGGGGTCTGAGGTGTCTCCTTCACTGCGTTGCAAACTTCTGACTGAAATTATAATACCCTTTGCTCTGCAAGGGTATAAAAATAAAAACTATAACTTTGGTTAAAAGACAACCCAAATTTAAGGATTAAATGTAGTTAATTCTAGTCAAGGTGTTGTTTATTTTGATTCTAAATGAAAATCTCTGTCCTCATTAAGCACTAAACAAAGAGCTAACACAAAGCGGGCTATTTCCCTAGAAAAGCATATTATTTTTAACATCTTTGCTTCCTCATCATGCGCTCCAACGACCTGTACCTTTTCCCATCCACCGAGGTTGCTTCTGGGCCTTTAATGAGCGGCTAGCCAGCATATCCATCCTAATGGCCCCCAGACAGACAAAAGGCGGGTTAAGCCGCCGGCAAAGACGCTGATGAAGGGGCGCAAAAAGTGGGCAACGTGGTCGGGTCAAAGTTCAGGCGAAGTAAATGATGATGTTGTTGATGAAGAAGTCCTTTGTGGCTGTCATCGGTCATTGCACAATCGAGTGAAGCTGCCACTGACATGCACAGTGCATTATGGACAATGGATACAACAATACGCTTCATTAAATAATTAACACGCACATTATAATTTAATTAACATAACAGACTGCAGGGGTTCAAATAAAACGAGAGACTGACGGATGGACACGAAAGCTCTTGGACGAAGGTTGAAATGTAAGGTTGTATAATATAAACTATACATTTTTTAAAGTCATATAACCATTTTTGATTTCGTAGTTTTATTTTGATTTGTTCCTACAGTTCGCAATTATCTATGTTTATATATTACTATCGGAGTTTCTTCGTGCTATAACAACCACAACAAATTTTAAAGTATATCAAAACAATCAAGGATTTTACGGAATTCGTTCCGAATCACCAAAAGGTCGTTGTTATTAGTCATTATCTAACAAGATTTTTACAGGAGTGCCAGACGAATACGTACTACTTACATCACATAAAAATGCAGTGAAAGTGTGTGATTTTCCTGATATCATTTATGTGTGTTTGCGGTGCTGAGAAGGGAAGGTATAATAATGATGTGGTGCCCTTTCCAGTTACCAATTATGCAAGATATTCTGACCAGAGCAGAAACAGTATAACGTGCTTTTATGGAAACCATAGATGTGACTTAGAATGCTCGTTGTCATTTTGTAAGTCCTGTCCGCCATGTCTACAAAGATCTAAAAAGATTAATTTCGGGAAAGATTCAGTTGTGATATCAAACAAGCTCATTGTACTTTGTCAGGATCTCGAATTTACTGTGACCATAACGTATGTAAATAATAAACCTTGCTTAAAAGTTACTAAAGGTAGATAGAAAAATAATATCTAGAACTATGCATTTAACCATATATTAAAATATAAACTAATTAAAAAATAACATATGTTTCTTTTTAATTTTTTATTTCTTTTTCTCCGAACACTAAAAACAGTGGCATTTTGTTTTTAGATAGAAAAATATATAAATTTCGCATATAAGTTTTTTCTACCATTTACTTCACTGTAAGTTTACTGTATTAATGCGAAAGTTCAAGTGTAACTAAATAAATTAATCAACTTCATGCCAGTTTAAAAATATGGCAATACTGGCAAGCTTGGCAATAGTATATATTTAAAGTACCCGGTTTGGAGAAGTCTTTTTCGAGCTGCGTCTTATCAAAATGAAGTGGATAACATCAATATTTTTCGTTTCACTCCTGTTTATTTGCGACGCAAACGTTACAACATCTTCTGAAGGACCCACCATCAGGGCAAGAAGTGATGCAAACGTTACAACATATTCTGAAGGACACACCATCAGACCAAAAAGTGGTGATCTAGGAGACAAAAAATTGCCTAGAACTTTCATTTGCCAGAAGTTCAGGTGTATGATGCCATGTTTGATTTGCGGAACCTGCCCGTGGTGCACACGAATGGAACCACCAACAACAACTAAACCACCTCAAATAAAGGAAATTATAAAGGTGGTTCTTGTGCCAGCTCCGGCACCTGCTCCAGCCCCGCCAACACAAGTTAATATTATTCCTCAGCCTATTCCTTATCCTCCTGTTTATCCATATCCACCACCACCAAATCCATGTTGTGGGTAAATCCTTCGCAATTTGAGTAAAAAACAATCAAAAGAAATATTTATTTGAACAAGTGTTAATTAAAAAATGAACATCGCTTTTTCACGTATAAATAAATGTAAATGATTTCAAAATATAATATGATCAATTGTTTGATAAAACAGAACTCTTCACTAAAATTATCCAGCAAATATTTGAAAAGTCTTCTGTATTTTCTGATCGAAATGAAGAGTAATTTTTAAACAAAAGTCAATTCTGAAAACAATGGTTTTATTGGTTTCGTAGTCAGCAGGATTCTATTGGGTTGTATTCCAGACCAAATCAATTTCCGAGCCATCGCAACTCCAAGGCACGATCAAAACCTAATCAACTGGCTGAAACCTGAAGAGTTTTCCTCAGAGGCAGTTTATTCAACGCTGGCAGCCACGTCGTCAGCGTTTCTTTTCCAGCCATTTCCGCAGCATTCCCACCACGTCAATCACAAATCAGTTTGATGGGCTGCTGTGCGGGGGAAAAGCGGAAAAGCGGAAAAGCGGGAAATCGGGAAGGCAACTCGTTACTCGTTTGCATACAAATTACAGATGCAAGTCACATTTGATTGAAAACAATTTGAAATGATATCGTCATTGGCATGGAGCTTCCTGCCGGATTCGCTGGAAGTCCTTCTTCGCCGGGAGAATTCTTCTTATTTTCAATGCCAGCTCCTCTCACCTGCGTTTCACACACACAAAGGGCATGTGCAGGGTTTATTGCCTTTACGTGCAAAATGTTTGTGTTTGGCCCGCATAAAAGATATAAACCAAATTGCTTCAGCTCAATCGGCTATTCGGAAAGCATTTCATTTCATTTGCCAGCTAAAAGCGCTCAAGAGCTGAGAGCTCTTAGCTGAAATCTAAAAGCTGCACCTAAAAAAATGTGATCATTGCTACTTTCAAACATCGAGACTATTTAATAGTTATATACATTTTTGTAATAAAATTTATAAATGTTGCTTGGGAAAAGTGTTTATAAAATTTCTTTAAATTTGTTTATTTTTTGTGAAATTTTCGTATGTATAATATATCAATTATTTTTTGTGTAAGAACTTCGATCAACTGCATTGCACCGCATTGGCATGCAGCTCCTGCTGCCTTTGCCACCGTTGATTGTGTTGCTTTCGGGTGGTTGAGTGGGCGGTTGAGAGGGTGGTTCAATCGATGGTCGAGTGGGTGGTGCGGCTAATCAAAGCGCTCGACTGTCCCTGAACACCTCGTCCTGCCGCACCGCCTCCTCCTTCCCGTTCTGTGGGTGTTATCCTTGTCCCAATGTGCAAATAATTACCAATATGAGCCGTCAAATGACCACACACTTGCGCAGGACACACAGAAGGACGCTCGCAGGATGGCAGGAGCCGGTTAGCCAGCTGCTGTTACCTGTAGTGGCTCCTTCTGCTCCTGCAGTTGTTGTCCTCGGCTGCTGTTCGGTCGTTATCCTCGTGGCGAGGGCGTTCTAATTGTTGTCGCCATCGCCCGGGCCCGGGCACTGTGAGCTTGTAAATAAGCCTTAATTATTGCTATTACAGCCATAAAGCCACCGCACAATAAACATGCAAATTCGGTTTGCACGGGGCGTGACCCAAAGGCGGATATCTGATAAGCCAATTGGCAGGGCGGCCCGAGTGCTGTGCTAAAGAAATACGGCTAAGGTACAAACAATAATAACTTTGTGTGTGCCGGGATTTCTATGGCGATTTTCAGTAGCATACAGGAGGTTAATAAACAGATTTTGTTATTCGGTTTCAGATTAACCCATGGAGTTCGTGTGGCTTAATTCCAGGAAGTTTCTTTTTACCATTCCCTTGTGCTGGTAAATTTGTTTGAACTTGAATAACTTATTTTCACAACTGATGAGTTTGTATAGGTGAATTTAAAGTTTAAGCTTTAAAGAAATTAAATTGAAAAGCACTTCGACAAATAAGTCTATATTTTAACGTGATGAGGCTTATTAAATTTCTCTTCTCACCACTTTTACATAAAGTTACTACCATAATTAAGAGCGAATTGCTAATAAGCAGTCAGTTGCTTTTCTCCTAAACACTCTCTGGCTAATAAGAGCATTCCCATGGCTTGTGGCTGCCACATTTCCCCCACTATTAATATCAAATTTAATTTGCGCTTAGCTCGTTGAACGGCGATAAAGGCAAACATTTACATAACACGCTGGCTGCGCAAGGCAAGGTGCAACTGCCACAACTGCCACTCGCACACCCGAGTGCCTGACATGCAGGGCGCAAGACAAAGCCAAATGGGCGTGGGCAAGGGGCAAGGTGGAAGGGGGAGGGGGAATTGGGGAAGTGGGGTCAAGGGTCAGTGGGCGGCAGGTCCTGCGCCCTTTGTCATAATTAGAACATGCAATCGCCGCCACTGCACATAAACGCTCATCAAATCCATTTAGCCCGTAATGACTGCCGGGTCGTCAGGCATTTTCAGGCTTCTGATCCCGCGCTGCTCCGATTGCCGTTCTGCCCGAGGGTTTTATTTGCCATTAGCCAGCTGCACGCACACCATCGCCGTGCTGCTGCGTTTCAGGTGTGCACACTGCCAGAAAAAATTGAACACACATTGATGGTTAGTTTGTTTTACTCATTGATTTATCTTTAGTATTGTGTATACCTATTCAGTAGTTTCTAAAAATGTTTCAATTTGTGATTTGAGTACAAAAATACAGACTTTACAATTAAATAATCAGTATTACGATTCAGACGACAAATTCTTTAAATAGTATATCAAATCAATCAAGAATTTCACACACTATGCACTTTTATTTTCTAATAACAGTTTTCGCTCAGTGTCCTTGTTTACTGGACTTACTGTTTAAGTGGTGCACAAACTGCCGCTGCTCGAAACTGCTCCCAACAGCTCCCAACAGCTCCCAACAGCTACCAACAGCTCCGAACTGGACTGACCCGAGCTAAACCGAGTCGAACTGGCCTGCAGTTCCGCAGTTCTGGAGTGCGGTGGTCACGGGGCGACATGCCATTGATAGCCGGTTGAGTTTCTCGATGGCCTCGTGGTGCTGGTGTCTGTTTGCCGGCAGCGCCTGTTGGCCAGTTGGCCAACAAAACCAACAAGGCCAACAACACGGCTACCTGACGTTTCGTGTGATTTTTGCACCGATTTGCGTTTAATTGAATTTTGCTCTTGACACTGGTTGGTGTATGGACTTGACTTGGCCCACCCATTTCCCATTTCCACCATCTAATTGCGCTGGAGGAAAGGAAAGCAGGCGGAAAACATGTTGAGCCTATTGCTGGGAAAATAACGAGCCTGCCGCCCAGATACCATTGGAGCGGCATAAATCAACACGCCCTCCGTCTGGTCAATGAACCGCAAAGGACTTGAAAAAAAGGCCCGACGAACGGACGGACGCAGCCCGTCTTAGGTGTCTGCCTCGGGTCTGTGGCCGGGTCCATAACCATTAATGATGTGGCCCCTGCCACCTCGATACTTGCCGCATGTCTGCGCCTAGAGACTCGGATCCTTTTCCTTTCCCACAGCCGAAATGGAAAACAGAGCGAGAAGTGTGCGAAGCGGAAACAACTTAATGACGCGCGGCGCTAATGGTTCACTTAAGCACCCACATAAGTTTTCCGCGCTTTTCCCAAAACACAAAAAAAAAGGGAAAAAGCCAACAACAATGCACCCTGGTTTTAAACTTTATTGTTAATGGAATGTGGTTCTAATAACCCTGTTTATATAATTTATTTGGGCTTGAGTACAAGTTTTAGAATTCTTTTGGGTCCAAGCAGAATTATATTCTTTTTATGCCTTTTTTATAATTAAACAATTAATAAATATCCATATTCTTCTTTTTGAAACTTGTAGGGGATAATATGCGCATTTCATTAATTTTTGTTGTATTTGTTTTTTGCCCATGGAATTAATGTCTGATTATCTTTTTTTAGTAGTTTATTTAACTTGAACCACTGTACCAAGCTAACTTTCCTTCGATTTTTTCTCGTAGCGTTTTCATGGCTGCTGCGGGACTTGTCACTGCCAAAAATCGGACGACGCCGCCTTCGCCTATTGTCGCCTATTTTTTCCCCCATTTAAGCTTCTGCCGGAGTTGAGGCCCGGGTAAATTCCCATCGCTCGACTCTCACTCGGACCACTCGCACTCCACTTACTGGCTGCACAGTAATAATTTTTCGCTAATGGTGTCCTAAATTGTCAAGAAATATGGAACCATTTGAATGTGCCCCCCTTCGGCTTGAGTCGAGTATGTGGGTGTGGTTCTCCCGGACTCGCGCGTCACACCCACATACATATACCCA